AGTTCGAGTGTTTCTTCATTTCTGCAAACGTACACTGATGGGTGATTTTGCAGATCATTTCATCTGACAGTGGCTTCTCAAGAAATTCGCTGATTAGTCGAACGTTACCACAAAGATCCTAGAAGGTAAATGAGTTTTGATAGAAATCGTCACTGTTTTAGAATTGTGCAACTGCATGCTCAGTCTTGATTTAGAGGGCTTGTTAGTTTCACAATATCCGCTCTTCTACTTATCACAATCAGTCAAGTAAAGGTCGATCTTATTTATTGGTACTTCAAATAAAACACAGATGAGTACAACATAATAAATAGTTTACCTTTTTCAAATCTTCGTACTTGAGAAACAAGATGTGAGGTTCGTCTTTGTGTTCCCACCAGGGTAGCACGTGATCAGACCACAAGCCATATGAATCTGCAGAAAAGTATTCGAATTTACGACCATTTGATTAAATTTGATCACAGCTATCGAACGGTTTAAGGAGGATTTTTGCAAGTTCGCCTCCTACCACCTTTTCAGGTTTGTCCCCTGAAGTGAAACAAGACCGCGCCTACCTTTGCCAACTCGCCCCCATCCCCCTCGTTTTCCTCCATAAATCTTCAACTCGTTTCATTACAGCAGAACATATTCTTTGGAACATGTTCTTGCAGAACATATTCTTTGGAACATATTACAGCAGAATATATTCTTTTGAACATACATTCTTTTTTTCTCGTTGCCATTCTCTGAAACCATTCTCGTTGCCATGTTCCCCTCAATCACGTAGCTCCAATTTCTGCCTTTAAAAGCACACACAACCCAAAATTCCTCTATTCGCTCCGACGAAGGGTTAACGCTCGAAACGTCAGCTTTTATAACCGTAACGGTGGCCAATTTACCATTTCAACTTTGTTGATATATTCAAATTATTTCGTTACCCCTGCCGACGCAGCGCCAAACGGTTTCTTTCGAAATATTCGTACGCCATGAATCAATGCTTGTCGTGGTCCCGTAAGCTCTCCACAACACTCTTCTTATAATTAGACGAGTTACATTGTAAAACTTGGGTCCTCTAAAGACTCGCTCCCGTGAGTTCAACTACTTAAATATTCGTTGCCAATTACCTTGTAGATTTTTACTGAGTAACCGTCTGGTTTTTTATCCTGGTTGTCCGTTGCATTCTTGAAACTCTCCCTGCTTATTGTGTTACTGAGTTCTGCAACGTTTGCCTTTCTTCTAAGGGTAGATTAGTCGGGGTACGGAAGGAGTTTAGGAAGATGATCGATGTTCTTATTTATCAGATTTAATTTTTTTTTTCCCATGAGTTGTGGGCAGAGAGCAAGGTTTCGTACTCGTCGTATTGTTTTCCTTCCTTTTTGCGCCCTCTCTTGTCAAATCTTTTATTTTCGCTTAGGCACGTATACCGCTTTCTACATCAGTAAAAGTGTACCGAGAGAGAGCTTGACACGGTTCGTAGACTTCCTCGCAAAGGGTCTTCTCTAAAGGGACGATGAATAATGGATAAAACCTGTGGTAGCATTCCAGCTTGCCGCGTCATATATGCTGTTACGCCCAAAATTTGAAGCTGGGATGGTAAATGTTTTGACCTTGCGGTGGTAGCGTAGTTGACTCGAAACGTCATTTCAATGGGTTGCCACGCAACACACGCCTTGTGAAAAGGCGTTGAGCGAAAGCTCGAAGAGAAGAGAGTGGCATACATGAGAAAAACGACAACAGTTCTTCGACCAAAGACGTGTTAGATATTCTAGAACGCGATGACTGACCTTAATCTAGTATTATAACATAACCAAAGTAAAGCGCGCGCTCTGATTGGTCAATTTTAGCGTCCCCCATTTGCCCATGGGTGTACGCTGCTGACGTGAGGAAATGTAAAGACTATTTTTCCGCGCGCGCTTGTTTTTTCTGGTCTCGTAAGATTTGTTAAATAAAAGGGAAATCTTTAGCTACAATGTATCAATGTTATGTTATAAAACAAATGGTAAACACCACAGCGTACACTATTAAGTTATGGATGCACTTGGGAGGTTTGCTAAGCACTCAAGAAGCTAGAGTCGCTCTCGGCTATCGCCTCGAGCGACTCTTACGCTTCTTTCGTGCTTAGCAACCTCCCGCGTGCATCCATAACTCAATAGTGTACGCTGTGGTGTTTACCATTTGTTAAATTTT